AGCTCAGAAAGTTGGCAAACTCAAACACAGAGAAGGGCAGTAGCTTAGCGGAAAAGCAAATTTGCTTGTAGAAGCTCTCTAGTTTAGTTTGTTGCATCTCCTGGTAAGACCAGGGGCAGATCTACACTCATGGTTTTTAGCAATAAGGAATGGTTAAGGAATGGTTTTGATAACATATGGACACATGACATCCTACTTTTATGTTCATAATGCATTTTACCTTTACCCCATTACTTTGTTTTTTTTATCACTTAATTTTTCATTGTTTTATGCTATTATAACAGTGAAACACTGCTCATATGTCCCTATGTAGCGGTTTACCTTACTTACTGCTTTCAAACTCCACCCCACCCCCATTGGTATTTGGGGGGCAGATAATAAAGGACACAGATGGAGGGAGGAAGAATTAAAATGTGACACCAGAGAGCGGAGCAGAGCAACCAGTGACCAGCAGCAGGGAAAGAAACAGCATTTTGGGAAATGGTGTGGTTGGGTATTATTTATCTTAGATGGAAAAAAACATTTAAATTAACAAGTGACATTTTAGAATGACATATCTAATAACATTCTAATGGGGGAAATAACATTAAACAGGTAGGGGTAGATCCAGCCCAGGAAAACCCCTTGCCTGAAATCCTTAGGATAGCCATTGCAAGTCATTGTAAAGAAGACAGAGCAATGGAAGGATCAGTGATCTGATTCGGTTAAAGGCACTTTGCTAGACATGGCTCTGAAATAGCCGTGTGGGCAATTCTATCTATTTACACACAGCAAGTCTAAAACTGAAGGTTTGATTTACATGTTTTATGTGTTTCTATTGCCAACAAAGGTCCGTATAGTTAAAGCCATGGTTTTCCCAGTAGTGATGTATGGAAGTGAGAGCTGGACCATAAAGAAGGCTGATCGCCGAAGAATTGATGCTTTTGAATTATGGTGCTGGAGGCGACTCTTGAGAGTCCCATGGACTGCAAGAAGATCAAACCTATCCATTCTTAAGGAAATCAGCCCTGAGTGCTCACTGGAAGGACAGATTGTGAAGCTGAGGCTCCAATACTTTGGCCACCTCATGAGAAGAGAAGACCCCCTGGAAAAGACCCTGATGTTGGGAAAGATGGAGGGCACAAGGAGAAGGGGACGACAGAGGACGAGATGGTTGGACAGTGTTCTCGAAGCTACAAACATGAGGGAGGCAGTGGAAGACAGTGGAAGACTGGCGTGCTCTGGTCCAGGGGGTCACGAAGAGTCGGACACGACTAAACGACTAAACAACAACAAAATCTTATGCTAGTCTACTGTAATTGAGAGAATGAGGATGTGTACCCTCTTCTCCTGCAGTTGCCCTTTTGCCTATCTAGCATGTTTTATTTATGTACAGAGGTGCTTTTATCTTAGGCTGGTCTATGACCATAATAAAGATTGGATCAGATATCTATTTACTAATCATCATTTGCAATCTCACTGCAATTAAGTTCTCAATCCCCTCCTGCTACCCCTTATTTCAATTTGGGCAATTCCTGCTCTCCATTTAGAAGCTCTACTTGTAGGCCTCATACGCTAAATGTGAAATACATTTTCCTTTTGACATTGTAACCTTCATCATGAATGTACTAAGAAATGTATTTCAAGTTTTCTCTTATTTCCCCCTTTTTTCACTCAACCTCATCTTCACTCAAGTATAAAAGCATTTACTTATACAATGCACCAGAAACTTTCCTTTGTCTGGTAAATGATTTTTTAAAAAACAAACAAGAAAACAACCTAACCCCTGCAGCTTATGCTGTAGCTTCTTCTCTTTTGTATAACTCATGTCAACTGACTCATTTTTTCTGGAAAATTTAGCTGCTTCTCCTAGTTTGCTGCGGGGGGAGGGGCAGTTTCCTCTGCCCTGTAATTGAACTTTGAAAAGTTCCATAGAGCAAGTTTGCATGTGGTTTCTTAAATCTGTGGTGGGTTACCAAGTTAATAAAGTTAATATATATTTATCATATATCTCCAAAATCTACTGGCTATCAGAGGAAGCATGGGTAAAAGAAAGGTGGTTGTGTTATACTAAATCTGATCATTGGTCTATATAGCTCAGCACAGCCTCTCTGCTTACCAGGGTGCTTGGTGTTTTGAGGCACAAGTCCTTCCCAGTCCTGTCTGGACATGTTGTATATTTTTCCATGAAAAACATGCACTTTATCAACGAGCTTATGATCTTCCCTTCAGTTCAAGATGAAGAAATCGCATTTAGCCCCAAGATGAGGATAAGCCCTCCCTGAGCCAACTGCAGGGGCATGTGGAGAGGGGAAAGCCCAGTTGTGCAAACAGCTTCCATTGATGGGACTCAGTAGCTAAATTAATGTAACCCATATCATTTGACTAAGAACACATCTACTGTTAGTTGCATGCAAATCACAAGTTTCTTCAAGTTTTATCTTGAACTTTTCTTCTTTCTTTGTTCACTTTTTTATTTTGCTGGAATCCACCCTGGAAGCACACATAATGCTAAGCCAAACCATGTCTTAACTGCAAATGTGTGGGTTCCTGGACCCAAGATCACAGCCAAGGCCCTCCTCCTCCTCTGCTGCTCCCCACCTGTCGTGTTCAAGGGAGCAGGACTGGTGCTTCTATTAGGCCAACTAGGCAGCTGCCTCAGCACAGACTTCAGAGAGGGGCAGTACTGAACTTTGAGGAGCACAGTTTTATACTGATTACTTATTCTCGCAATTTAAAATAAATTTAGCAGTTGCAAGTTTTGTTTTTGAAAATCGAAATTAACATGGTGTGGGAGTACAAGCAGTTAGCTTTGCCTAGTGTGCAAAATAGCCTGGCACCGGCACTGCCAGGGAGTGTCCCCAAGGACCAGGGTCTCAGTCCACAGAGTGTAAAGCCTTTTACTAAAAACCTTTGTCAAGAGAGCAGGATATAAGGGTCAGTATAATCATAACAGCCTAGATTCAAAGCATGGTTTTAAAAAGCCAGTCAAAGCAGTCAGAGACCTGAGTTCTTTCTAGCATCTGGCCTCCTAAACCACAGCTGCTGGCAATAAAGAAACATGGCCAATTGCTTACTCAGGAGTAGACTAATGACTCTGCACTCCAAGGCCACATACTTTGTCATTGCTCTTTGGCCTGTAGTCAAAGCTCTTTGGGCTAGCTCTGGCAAGGACTGGGGCTTGACCCCACCTCCTTCTCTGAGAGTTCCAGAGGTTCTTCATTAGGTATCAACCCAGAGAGTCCCTCAAATCATCAGCACTGGGTTCAGGGGGCCTCAAGCTCCTTTACCTGTAGGGTGTCTGGTTTGTCCATTGAGCTGGCAGGCACCAGATCAGGGCTAAGCCATAGCTCATAATTTACCTCCTCCAAAACACAACAGTAAACAAAGCACAAAGCATGGTTATAGCTTGTCTGGCATGAGACCAATCATGAGCCTAGGTATGGATGTAACAGGAAGCCAAACCAAGGCTTACCTCACAGCAGCAGGCGTAGAAGATGAGCAAAGTGGTCCAGGAAGCTGTACGTTTGCTTATTTGTACTGTGCCATCTTAGCAACTTTTAGGTTTTCCCCACACACTGCACTTCATTTGTTGTTGCAAAATTCCAAGGGTTGAAAGTCTGAACCTTCTGCTATTTAATTATTCAAATATAATATCTATTGAAACTGAGCATTTTCAGCCTTTTAATTTAACAGTTACATCTTCTTGAGCAGATGCATAGCTAAAGAGTTCCATCAGAAATTCATTTCAAGGAGACTGTTATATAACATACACAACTTCTGACTAACACTCATCAGTGGCTTTGAGTAAGCCAAAGCAGTACAGTACTTTCTATGTAACCTTTCAAGATACCATTTGGAACCAAAGTTACAGAGCACTTATCTAAGTGTCTCATTGTATGAGGGTTTTTTAGGTCTATCAATTGTAATGTAATTTAATTATGTTTCATAATTTGACCAGACAGTCAGCAGTACTTCAGACAGCTCAGGGATAATCACAATAGCATCCAGCTATCTTTTAAAAAAATGCATTCAATTTATGACTTTTAAAAATTATACTAAGCCATTATTTATGCTTTTCACATTTTTCCTTTTCATAAAAAAGACAGCCATTAGAATGGCTGAGGATTATTCATGCCAACCACATTAGGAGATGGTCACTACTATTTCCCCCCTATACATTGAAAATAATTGCTTTAATCAAGGATTTATTATTTTAAAATTAGTGTAAATTACAGAACTGGCATGTTCACAAAATTTGAATTTTGCACAGGATTCAGACAAATGAGTAAAATAGATGATTGATTATGATACCTGGGGTGTCCAGATTACTTCACATATCTTAATCTCAGACCTCTTAGAACCATATAAGTTAGACCTTGCAAATGGAATGGCACATCATCAGGGTTGGGTATCAACGAAGCCCCCTCCATGGGAATTGCCCCCATTGAACCCTTGTGTGCTGCAAGTCAAGAATCCAGGGTCTCACTGGGCAGCTGAGGTGAGAGATTCCAGCCAGGCAGAGGTCCTAACCTGAACTTAGGGGGTGCCTTAGTCCATCCTCCTCTCAGGCATAGGGGTATGGGGGTAACTTTACAACACTGATGCTGCCAATGCCCAGAGTGCTCTCCAATGCCTAACATAACTAAGCTTCATTTCACTGAGGGAAAGGCAACCACATCCCTTGCAGTGGGGGTTAGGAAGGGGGAAAGACCTTTCTGGCCTGTCAACCAAGGACCCCAGTAGCTCAGTGAAGTTCTAACCCATGAGTGGGTGGATGGGAAGCTTTCAGGGTAGAATGGCCCCAGACCTTCAAGGGCATTGCCTTAGCCCCTCCTTCTTCACACAAGATCCCACAGGATGATTGCCATCCCACAAGAGCTCACAAGAGCACAATGGGGAGATGCAAGTCCACCTTCCCACCACCTTCTGGGTCACGCTTCTCCAGGCAATATCACTTTGTGCACAAATCATTCCTAGAACAAAGTCTCTCTCTCTCTCTCTCTCTCTCTCTCTCTCTCTCACACACACACACACACGCAGAGAAACACAGACACACTGTCTGTGTGTGTGTGTGTGTGTGTGTGTGTGCAGATATCAGCCTTCAATGAAAATGTAAGATGTGTTCCCACCAGGAACACACTTCAAGGCAACAAAGACTCCCCAGAAGGAAAAGTGAGCAGCATGCGTGTGTGGTTCCTCTGGAGAAGAGTGGATAAAGGAAATGAAAGAAAACAAATCATCATAATATTTCAATTTTATGTCTCTGTGAATTTCTCCCCAAACCACTCTACAATGTTGCATTAATTTATCAGCAAGTGCTGTTTTCCAAACTCTATCAAATCAACTTTACCTAGTCAATTGACACTCACTTTTTCATAAAAAGCAATCTCTAAGCCAGCTGCTTTTGAACTTCTAGAAATATTTAGGTTCTCAAGCTAGCTGATACAATACAGTGTTTCTGGAAAAATTTACACATCACTTGGGAAGACAGGCAAACTAATGTCAGTGTACTGGAAAAAGCAACGCTCACCAATCTGAAGCAATGATTCTTCAACATCAACTTTGTTGAACTGGTCATGTTGTTTGGATGCCTGATTATCGTCTTCCAAAGCAACTACTCTATTCCCAACACAAGAATGGAAAGTGAAATATCGGTGGACAACAAAAGAGGTTTAAAGACACTCTCAAGATAGATATTTTAAAAATGTAACATAAGCACTGATAACTGGGAAACACTGTCCTCCAACTGGAGAACAGCCTTCACCAAAGAGGCCATGGACTTTGCAAAAGCACAAACAGGGCGAAAAGGAGAAACGAGCTAAGAGGAAGGCATGCTTGGCAAACCCTCACCATGATCAACTCCCACCCGGAAACCTATGTCCCCACTGCGGAAGGACGTGTGGATCCAGAATTGGCCTCAACAGTCACTTACGGACTCACAGTTAAAACCATGTTCATGGAAGACAATCTTATTTGGCTACGAGTGATCGCCAAAGAAGAAGAAGACCTGGATGGACTATTTTGGTTATGTAAGGATTCAAATAAGTAGAAATAATTCCACATGTATGTTTAAATGATGCCATAAAGGCTTTAAAATATATATACATACTTTTGTGGGCCTTAAAAGGAAAAAAGAATATACTCAGATAAATAGAAAACATTTGAAAGTTCTGTCTGTGGTGCTAGATCTGTGCAGGCGCGTGCACACACACACATACATGGAACTGTCATATGATTTATATTACAAACATCAAATGATGAAAATGCATGTGTGGAGGATGAGAAACCAATGGTGCTCCAGATATTGCTGGACCACAGCTTCCTTTATCCTTGGAACTCATGGGAATTGTAGTCCAGAAACTTCTGGAGGGACCCAGCCTGGCAAAAGCCAGTTTCACATGTTCAGTCAAAGACAAATGTGCCTGTTCGGTAACAAGGCTGACACATATAAAGACAACCTTGCTTCCTAATTTAGACACACTTAAAACTCTCTGTCAGAGTGTGTACATAGTTCTGCCGGACAGCCTAGTCAGGCTACATATATATGTAGCAGATTGTACATTAACTTTTAATATGAATAATCCATATTGAGAAGATATCCTTTTAATACTAAAAGCAGCTACTCTTTATTACATTTCTTTTTAAAAAAATAATAAAAGTAGCTACAAGTAGTTTGTGGCATAATGAACAATTTGAAAGTATTTTTATCATGGCATTATTAACATGCTAGATCATAACATTCTGAATGAGCCGTTACAGTCCATAAATTGGGGTTATAAAATATACTGAAGGCTTCCATTCTGCTGGGTGAGGAGGGGAGCTGTTATACCTAGAGGAATCTTTGTTCACAATATTACACAAGTATTTATAACATTTTTTACTGGCTTATGCGTGCAGCTACTGTCATCAATAATTACTGCCATAACTAATTGCAACTCAGTGAGTTAATCTACACCATATTTACATTAAACGGAGTGTTTTGTTATTTATCACAGAGAGCCAAAATTAATACTGCATCAGAAAAAGATTGTGCCTCTTCCATGCTACATGATCTCTTATTTAAAAATGTACTAATGAGCAGCATCTAATTTGCAGATTTCCCAGTATTTACTGCATGTATCTGAAGACCAACACTGTTCACCAATAAAAAACGTTGGCAGATGTATATCATATTACAATAATTTGGAACAAAATCCTACCATGGCTACACTTTTCATTGTAGAATTTACACAGAAGTAAGTCTACAATGTAGTTTCTTCTGTTTATTAATTAATTTTAAAAACAGAACATTCTAGACATGGTTCTCTTACATGTCCCCATACTTAGCTGCATACCATTTCGTTTTGTTTCCTAAACAAAAAATGGCTGGGACATAAAATACTGGGGGTGCGTTTGTCCCAGCCAATGTGTCATCCCTCCATCAGCTTTGGCTGGTGATCCATCTGCACCCCTATATGGACAGGCACAGCCTAACTTCTGGAAACATTTAGGCTAGATTACTGCAATGTATCATATGTGGGGCTACCTCTGAAAACTATTCAGAAATTTCAGCTAGTGCAAAATTCAGCAGCCAGGGTGCTCACCAGGGCAAGACATTTTGAGCACATAAGACCAATCCCAGCCCAACAGCACTGACTGCCAATTAGTTTCCAGGCCCAATTCAAAGTGATGGTTTTAACCTAGGACTCAGCTACATTAGTAAAGAAAAGGCACTTTATATAACATAAGTCATATAACACTGTGACACCAGATGGCGCTGTGGAGTCCCGTCTTTTGCCAATGGGACTTCCATTTATGAAATTCACAACGCGTTTAAGTGAATTGCTTTTTTGCTGTGTCTAGATCCAGCCTTCTAAAGCCATAAAGCCATTGTCCAGGACTACAATGCCTCAAGAACCGCCTCTCCCTATATGAACTGGCCCAGACCCTGCAATCTTCATCATTGGAAGCCCTTCTTTGTGCGCCTCCTCCATAAGAGGTTTGGAGAGTGGCAACACAAGAACAGGGCCTTTTCTGTGGTGGCTCCCCATCTGTGAAATGCTCTCCCCAGGGGGGCTCACCTGGCACCTTCAATTCATATCTTTACATTCCAAGCCTTTATCTAATTAAACAATTATGACATTTTAAATTTGGTGGGGGTATTGTTTTTGTTCGTTACTGTGTTGTGCATCTTTGTGTTTTTATATTGTAAACTACTTTATGATCATTGGATGAATGGCGGTGTGAAAATGTAATTTATAACAGCAATAATAATGCCTAGCCCTGACTTGGAGCCAGGCATGGAGTCCTTGAAGGATGAACCAAACATCCCACAGGTCAAGAACTGTGAGGAGCTGACAGGGCCCCTGAATCCAGTGCCGAAGGTCTCCCTTGAGACCTCTGAGTTGCTACTTGATGAAGCCCCTGTCAGAGGAGCAGGTGGAGTGGCCCTTCGGTCCTCAACATCAGCTAGTGCCAAAACCTTCAGGTCCAGGCCAAAGAAGGATGGCACAGTCTGCAACGACAGACCCAGAGTCATGGGTCTACACGTAAAAAAAATCTGATCAATCATCCGCCACAGCCAGCATCTGTGGCGAGGGTCTGGTTTAGCTTATGAACCTTTGGACTGCTGGAAACAACGCTGGTCTTTAGTTCCTTGCGCCTACTGCAAGTCCTGCAACTGTCCTGAATATCTTGTTATAGTGACTTTGACCTTTCTGGCCTTGTTTCTAGACAATCCTATTGAAAGGCACAGAAACACTGCTTTTCAGTTGTCAATGCCTACTATCCCAGCCTAGTGCCTACCAGATGTTTTGACTATCGCTATGTACAAAGCATACCTTTAAAGCACATCCTTTCCCTTAAAGAATTCTGGGAATTGCAGTTTGTTAAGGGTTGCTGTGAATGGCAACTCTGTGAGGGAGCAAACTACAGTGCCCATAATTCTTTGAGGGAAAGAATGAGTTTCTCATGTGCTGTATGAATACAGTGTGTGCACAGCCTGTGTCTGGCGTCAGCCCCAACCTACACAAATGTGCTGCCTGGGGCTGATGGCATCTGGGGGCCCCAGGATGCTGAAAGTTCTGCTATCCTATTCTGTGAACTTTCTCGGGAACTAGCCTTGGTAGGACTCAGTCCTGTCAATGTCTTTTCCCTCTTCCACTAGGCTACAAATCTTGGTTAGGAACATCTATGAAGTAAAGGAAGAATGCAAAAGATAAATGAAAACAAAGAAAAGAATGGAAGAAAACCTGCTGAAGTGTGGTCTTATTCTATCCCATATTTCATATACTGATGTACACTGCGGCAAAAGTGCACAGAGCCTAACTAGATGTGAAATCTATGGTGAGGACCAGGCCACTGCTAAACCCTAATGAGAGCTCATAATGAACACCGAACTGCGATCTGCTCGGTGGAGAAGTGTTTGTAGTGAACGTATTAAAAGAACAGAAAGTACCATGATGACCATTAATATTTCATTTTTAAAATCTCTCCAAAATAATTTAAAGGAGGAAAAGGTTGACTTTTCAGTTGCCGTCTAGTTTTTTCCCTTTAATTTAAAATATATATTTTTTCTAAGTGGATCACTAGAATTATTTGAAAATTTAGTTTTGTTAATGAATGGAAGATGAAGCTTTCTATAACTAGAGATATTCACTTTTGGCGAAGGCTCTCCTAAAGTAGCTATGGGACAAATGAATATCCCAGATTGCAAAACAGAAACTTAAAAGAGAGTTAGGCAAGAAATGTTATATATTCCAACCTACTTCCTTGGGTGTAACTTTCTAGAATCAAGTGTGTGTTCAGGTCTGTATATTGCGGTGCTATTTTGTGTGGATATGAATTTGTCCCATCCACATAGAAGTTTTGCAAAAGGCTTCCTCTCAGAAGGAGGAAGGAGACTCACACCACTTCAGTGGCTGTTGGGGACACGACAGCTGCTCTCTTTATAAAAGAGATAGGGATGCGAGTGGCGCTGTGGTCTAAACCACTGAGCCTCTTGGGCTTGCTGATCAGAAGCTTGGTGGTTTGAATTGGCCCAACGGGGTGAGCTCCCGTTGCTCTGTCCCAGCTTCTGCCAACCTAACAGTTTGAAAGCACGCCAGTGCA